GCCGGCGTACGGGGACCCGACCCAGCGCGCTGGGGGGAAATGCGGTGACTGGAAACCGCCGCGCGTGGGGACGAGAAAAGCAACGCGGGGCTTTCCTGCGCGGGGGTGTTACAAAATGGAAAGGGAGGAGGCTTCCTAAGCTCCACCATCGTTACTCCACCGCTGTTGCAGGCGTGCTGTAATTAACAGCCTTTTCTTACAAAACCCAGCGCTACTGGTGTGCGCTGTCGCTTGGCCAGCTGTTGCTTTCCTTAGGTCTGCATCAAACACTGCATGCCTTTATGGAGTCGCAGAACCACAGGACAGCCCAGGCTGGAAGGGACCTCGAAGGCTCAGCCAGTCCAACCTTCTGTGGGAAAGGGAGCCGAGATGAGGTGATCTAGCACCCTGTCCCGCCACATCTGGGAAACCTGCAGCGATGGGCATTCCACCACATGTGGGGTGTGTGTGTGTGTGTGTGTATGTTGCAGTGGTTGATTGTTCTCGCTATAAAAATAATTCCTTATATCAAGGTGAAACCACACCCAGTGCCGCTTGTACCTGTTGTCCCTTGTCTTCTTTTGTCGTCTTGTGAAGAGGTAGCCACCTTTTAAGTACTGGAATACTGTGAAGTTTTGTTTCCCCCCCCCCCCCCAAGCCTTCTCCAGGGAGAAAAGACCTAACGCCTTCAGTCTTTCCTCACAGGGCAGGTTCTGCAGCTCTTTGATCATCATGGCCTTCATGTGGAGGCTCTTCAGTCTGCTCACATCTTTTTTGAATTGTGGGGACCAGACCTGGGTGCAGTATTACAGGTGTGTCCCGACAGGCGCTGGGCAAAGTGGGACGATCAGGTCACATAACCTGCTTGTAACACCCCTGCGGATGCAGCCCAGGATCTGATTTGCCTTTGCTGACTCCTGTGCAACTTTCTGTCCCCCAGGACCCCCAGGCCCCTTTCAGCAGGGCTGCTCCCCCCCCACACACACACACACAGATCCCAGCCTGCACAGGGCTCTTCGGCTAAGTCGTCTCAGGTGTGGGATCTTGTACTCATCTTTTGACAAGTATCACTACATACATATGTTTTACCAATTGTCACTAGTATCTTTGTTGTTACCCAATAAAAGAGAAAGCGCCTTACAGTTTTGTATCTGTATGTAATTGGCTTTCCCAGAAATAGCAGAACTTAAAAATAGCCGCTACTCTGCATGATGACTCCATACCCTAACAAATATCAAATGTCTTTCCACGAGCCAGGATGTTCAGCAGAGTGCATGGCAATCTGATTTTAGACCAATCCTCTTTACATGCTTGTTAGTATCTTAAGGATGGCATCCTTAATCCCCACTCCAGCAGATTGGTTCTTTGGGTCTTGAGGAGAGGTCACAGGAATTATCAAAAGCCTTTTTTTTCCAGTTCAGGAGTCTCTGAATTCCTTTAAAGAACACTGTAAACTGTTGGCTGTTCTCCTTTGCCTACCGACAGGTATAGTAACAGTAAATTTTGGCTTTGTAATTAAAACTCAAAATACACAAAACATAGAATTGTGACAAATGCTTTAGGTATTCACAGTGTTACAAAGAAACATACTACTCTTAAAATCACACGATTTTTACTTTATCCTCTTATTAATAATATAAAGTTCTTAGAAGAATCATTTAGACACAAAAAATCATTATAGCTATTGCTAATTTTGCCTTGTGAAAATAACGGTGAAAGCCAGAATTTAATTACTTACTTTTTCTCTTTTAGATACTAGCTCCAGCTGTGTAAGCCTTCATCTGTTATCATTCAATGACTTGTATTGAATTCAGAGCTACTTTTGCTTTTTTTTTTTTTTTTTTTGAGGGCCTACAGGACAAGTGCCAGGCTTTTAACAGTTCACTTAGATTTATGTGTAGTGCTTGATACACATAAATATTTAAAATCTCTTGGAACTAAACTATATGAACTGTCATTGCTAATCGAGGGTGACTCGCATACGTACTTACTGATTTTGTTGATGTATTCACCCATATAATTGCAGTGACACTTCTGGTAATAGTTCCCGGTGTTGTTGATAAAGTCCCTAACATAGGCAAAGTCAATAATGTAGCAAGGACAAATAAATAGGACTTTCAAATGCCCACATGGTAGCAAACCTTGTACATTGCCCCGTACAATAGCTTAGAATTGATATTTTGTGATGCTCTTTAACTTGGAGTAATGGTCTGTCAGGCTACTTAAGCCTTGCATGTCTGCTTTTGAAGACAGACCATTAGCTTTTGTATTATCCGTAGGAAGCCACGCTGAATTTCTCACTCTGCAAGTATGAGACGAAGCCCTTGCTGAAACTAAATCAGAACTCCTTAGGTCACATTTTACTCGTTCTTTTCCCATGTTTCCTACTGCTTTATTTAATGGGAAACACAACAAATACTTTTTGTTAATTCTGTGACCTTCACATTACTGAAGTCGCTTGGGTGACTTGGTTGGTTTTGGGGTTTTTTCCCTGTCAACTCCATTCCAGTTTTTACAGTTAAGGAACCCACATGGCCACATGAAAAGTTAAACTCTAGCTGCACACCCTAGACAAAGCACACAGCTTCTTATTTGCTCTGCTCTGTGGGAACGTGCAGCCTTGGAATGATTGAACGGTACCAACTACAGAATTTGCAGGTTGTTTAGTGCATCCAAAGAAGGAAGAAGTTACTGCCACCTTTGACCCTGACACGGGGGTTGTTATCCTGAACTCCATCACCTTTATTTATTTAGGTGATGGCAAAGGGCAGGCTGGATGCAATGACTGCCTGATGGGAAACTCAGTACATTCTCGGGTTCTTGGGTCTTCTGTTGCGTTGAAAGAGTTCACAAATAGGCCCTAGAGATTACCTGTGGTAAATATAAGCCAAAATTATTCTTTGAGATCATTTTAGTATCCTGGATACACTCACAAGTGGGGTTCTTCCTTGGTGACATGAGTGCCAGCTGCTCTGTAAGGGCAGGAAGCCAGGAGCTGAGGAGGATACTGTGGCCAGCAGGGCAGGACCTTGCCAGCCAGGGCCTGTCCCACCACCCCCAGGCAGGGAGCAAGGCAGGCAGGGGTCGGAGGGAAGCCCCCAGAGCCCAGCTCATCAGGCAAGTGTGTGATGATGAAGCAAATCCGAGGTCAAGCACATAAGTCAATCCTCAGGTCTGGTGGGGTGAACAAGGGCCAGACATAGCCCAGGGATCACCAGGCAGGTCTGTGGTGACCAGGCAGGTCTGAAGTCAACATGGAAAGTTGGTGGGTCAGGGTCCAGATCAGCAGGATCCAGATCAGTGGGACCCAGGGCAATACATGGGATGATCTCCCACCACAGCTGCCTGTTTTCTTCTGTGACAGAGCTTGTCCTCACTGGGTGGGCAGTCATTTTGGTAAATCAAGAGCAAAGAGCCAAGGTTGCTAGATGAAGAAATCCTACATGGCAATATTTGTAAGTGAAAAG